CCTGCCCCAACTCCTTGCGATTAAAAGACTTCCTCCCACTGTGTGCCCCTAGGACAAAGTCACCATGACCTGGTGCAATTTCCTCCCCTTAGCCTTATTCTCTCTTTCACACATTAGCAGTGATGTGTGAGTCAGTCATTTAGTGACTGGGGGAAAAAAAATCTAACTCTGGGAAAACTACATATGCTTAAATTCCAGGGTTGGAATTTTCTCCGGTGCCCTGAATGAATGGCATCTCTGCTCTGCCTTACTCGTGTTCTGTTCATGTGGAACCATGGTAGTATTAGGTCAGGGCTCGTGTTTGTAACACATGTTCAGTCAGTACTGTGGTGGACAGTCTACATGTGCCTGTCACTTAACCTACACAGAACCCTCATATGTTGGAACTACCGTCACCTCTACATTTTAAAAGACGAGGCCCTGGGGCCAGCAGATGCCATAATGCTTATGTGACTGGACTCCCATATAGTCGACTGTGGTTCAAATTCTAGACCCAGCAGCTTAAAACTCATGCCAGGTTCATGTGCATGCACGCCCCAAATCCTGAGGAGAATGGAGAGAAGGGATTGCGACATGGCCATCTCCCCATTTCTTGCATTCTTTCTTTCCTTTTTTTTTTAATATTTATTTAATTTTATTTATTCATTCATTTATTTTCATTTGACCAGACACACACACACAGACTAAGAGAGTTGGCTTTTTCTTTTAATCCATAAATATCGGTGATAATACTGGAGTTTTATTCATTCATCACTGTTTTCCTAGCGCCTACTATGTGCCAATCTCCATGTTGGGTGCTAGGGACAGAGAGAAGTGGTTATAAGACACAGCTCTTGATTTCTGAGAGTTTGCATGGAGGACCAAGCACTAGCCTCTGTTAGATGGGACGGAGGGCACTAGGAACACACAGTAGGGCTCTGAGCTGGGGAGCCAGGGAGCAGAGAGTGGTTCCATAGAGGAAGCAGAAACGCAGGGTTCTGAAGAGAGCGACCTGGGCACCCTGCCCCAACTCCTTGCGATTAAAAGACTTCCTCCCACTGTGTGCCCCTAGGACAAAGTCACCATGACCTGGTGCAATTTCCTCCCCTTAGCCTTATTCTCTCTTTCACACATTAGCAGTGATGTGTGAGTCAGTCATTTAGTGACTGGGGGAAAAAAAATCTAACTCTGGGAAAACTACATATGCTTAAATTCCAGGGTTGGAATTTTCTCCGGTGCCCTGAATGAATGGCATCTCTGCTCTGCCTTACTCGTGTTCTGTTCATGTGGAACCATGGTAGTATTAGGTCAGGGCTCGTGTTTGTAACACATGTTCAGTCAGTACTGTGGTGGACAGTCTACATGTGCCTGTCACTTAACCTACACAGAACCCTCATATGTTGGAACTACCGTCACCTCTACATTTTAAAAGACGAGGCCCTGGGGCCAGCAGATGCCATAATGCTTATGTGACTGGACTCCCATATAGTCGACTGTGGTTCAAATTCTAGACCCAGCAGCTTAAAACTCATGCCAGGTTCATGTGCATGCACGCCCCAAATCCTGAGGAGAATGGAGAGAAGGGATTGCGACATGGCCATCTCCCCATTTCTTGCATTCTTTCTTTCTTTTTTTTTAAAAATATTTATTTAATTTTATTTATTCATTCATTTAATTTCATTTGACCAGACACACACACACACACACACACAGAGAGAGAGAGAGAGAGAGAGAGAAAGCAAGCCACCAGGTCCAGGACTTGAACTGTGGTTGGCCATGTGGGAGAGTCCACTGCCTTAACTACCATGTCACTTGCCAGTCCCCTAGCTTTCTCTCTCTCTCTCTCTCTCTCTGTGTCTCTCTGGCAAGTGCATGTGCCCTATAGCAAAAATCTCCCTCTTTAAAAAAAAAAAAAAAAAATGAGGTCCCTCCGCAGTGGAGTAGGTGATTGGGTGTCGCTGCATGACACTGAAGCCACGTGGGAGACCCAGGTTCAGGGGATTCTGCCTGGGAGGCTGGGGAGGATCCCAGCATGGTGAGACCCTTCAAGAGTCTCTTTTTCTCTCATAAGAAAAGTGAATGAATGAGTGAATGAATGAATGAGGTCCTGAGAGTTAGTAACTTAGCCGCGGCCCCCCTGCTGGGTGCGAGAGCAGGGCTCCATCCATTTTTCATCTTAGCCCTCAGAGCTCTGCCAAATACCTGCAGGCCGGGTCCCCTCCTTTCCTCTTCAGGACGATACCATGGAAGAGAAGTTACTTACCACCTGACACGGCCTGCTCACTACTCACACGTCCTACTTGCTTCGGCTACTCAGGAAATTAGAGCAAGTCCTATTTTTAGATGCTGTGGTTAAATGACAGTGATGCATGGGTTAGCAGCTTGTTTTATCAATGTAGCTTGGAGGTGTTACCTGGCTGTATGCTCCCAAACTCTCTTACAGCACCCCACTTTGAGCTTTATCATTTATTTCAAGAATCACTTTGTTTCTTTCTCCCTCTTCTGTGAATCCTGCAAACAGACTTTGGCCAGAAAGAATAAAATTCTGAGGTGAAACTGAAGAGAAGATGAGGCTCCTTTGAGAAATTTGTAACGGGGACTGGATAGTAGCGCAGTGGCTACCTCAAGAAAAAAGAGGAAGGGCAGGAGAGGAGGGAGGGAGAAGGAGGACTGGAGGGAACGAATGTGGAGAATATGGGAAGTGCTGGGAAGACCTACGGCTTTAGTCAGTGCCGTTCCCTGTCTACACTGTTGGACACCTTTATTCCCATTTTACCCAGTAGGCAGCCAAGGCCAGAGAGGTTAAGGAACTTACCCTATGGCGCCCAGCGAAGTATGGGGTTAGAATGGCAAGATTTAGCAAGTAAAAATACAGGGCGTGCAGAGAAATAAATAAAAAAAAAATAAAACTGTATTATTATGTCACATGTGAATGTTCATACAGTCTAATATTAAAAATTTAACTTGGGGCCAGCAGATGTGGCAGAAGTTAAAGCAGCCAGATCCCATATAGCCAGCTGTGTGGTTCCAGTGCTGGATCCAGAGACGTAAGAGACACCCCAGGTGCATATGTGTGCGTGCCCAAAAGCCCAAGAGAAAATAGAATAGAAGAGATTTGGGGGGTGGCTATCCCCCTGGGAGACTCTTTCTCTCTCTCTCTCCCCAGTAAGCTTTAAACATTTTTTTTTTTAACTTGGCATCCTGTATTTTACCTAGCAACTCTCTGAGATTCAAGCTCAGTTTTCTCTGCTCTTTCTCAGATCCCCTTTACTGTGGGCAATATATAGTATTTACTGTAGGAGATGTGGGCAGCCCCAGTCTGTATAGGTCATGAGAAAGCCCCGTGCTTTACCTGAAACCCTTTCATCCTCAGTCACCTATCAAGTAGGTGCTCTTAGTGTCCCCATTTTATGAAAGAGAAAACCGAGGCTCATCGAGATGAAATAACTTGATCACAAAGTCAGAAAGTGGCGGAGCCCACCCTTGAACCCAGTTCTGTTTTGCTCTGGAATCGTCACTCAATTCACAGATTCCCCCCCCCCCCCAAGATTGAACACACATACAGGTAACTGTACAGTTTAGCGACTTATTTCACATGTTGGCCTAGCTTCCAACCAGATCAAGAAAGAACTGGAGCCTGGCTCTGGTCAGAGTCTCCATCAGGGCACCGGCTCCTGTGCCATCAGTTCACTGGGAGTCATTTGCGGGTGGACATTCTTGTCTCCACTTTACAGATGAAGCTTCGGGAGTTCAGAGGGACGCTGGTTGCCCAAGGTCACAGAGCGTGAAAGGCCACACTCTCAGAGAAGGGAAGCCATCACCCACAAGCCACACAGCAAAAACCGACCACCTGTTTGTTAAAACAACACGCTAAGGGGACCAGCAGTTAGCGTAACGACTATGTCTCTGGACTCCCATGTAGTTGACGGCGGTTCATGTCCTGGACATGGTGACTTAAAGTCACGCTGGGTACCTGTGGGTGCATGCCCAAGATCCCTAGAGGAGAATGGAGGAGAAGGGATTGCGGAGTGGCCATCCTCCCTGGGGGGTGATTTCTCGCTTTCTGTCTATCTCTGTCTCTCCTGGCGAGAGCACGCGCCCTATAGCAAAAACCTCTTCAAAAAACAAAAACAAAAACAAAACCAATAAAAAATCAAAAAACAAAAAAAAAAAAACAAAACCCAGAAAACCAAACAAACCAAAAAACCACGCTAAGGACCCACACCCAAAGCGCTCTTTATGGACTGTTCGCGAGGCTCCATGCTAATTCCTTGAACAGCAGCAGCAGCAACGAACACGCTGCCATTTATTGAGTGCTCACTGAATGCCAGGCGGCCTGGCACCTTGCGTCATCGTCTGTTAATTCTCCCAACCACCTCGTGACGTGGGTCCCGAGTCCATTTTACAGGCGAGAAACTGAGGTCGAACGGCTGAGGCTCCTGCAAATCTCTGCAGCAGGCCCGGCTCCAGATCTGCCCAGCTCCCCGGGAGGCAACGGGAGGGCCAGGTGGCATGCAAGGAGTTAAACAGTAGGCAGTGCTGTGGCTCCGTGCGAGGAGCGCGCTGGGCTGAAGCGCGCTGCTGGCAGCGGCGGCGGCGGTGGCAGCGCGGGGAGCTCAGGCTTAGAGACGTGAAGTCCCGGGGAGCGAGTGAGGCAGTCAAGGCGGCAGCGAGCGAGAGGCGAGGTGTCCGGAGCCCCGCGCGGAGCCGCGGCGCGGGGCACCCGCAGTGTCGCCCGCCCGCCAGCCCGCTCGAGCGCCAAGCTTGCAAGAGCCGGGCTTTCACTTCCTTTCGCCTCCGCCCGCCTCCCTGGCTGGCCGACTGGCGTCGCCACCGCCTTCTCGTCCCTGACCACCGCTGTCGCCGCTGCTGCAATCCAAGGCGCACACTCTCTCACTTTCTCGCTAGAGGCGCGGAGGATGCCTCTTGCACCAGCTGGGGAGAAATAGACCCCGGGCTCGGCCCGAGGAGCCTTGTGGCGAGAAAGGAAATCCAGGCTGGGCTTTTCTTGATGCCCGCTGGCCGCTGGGAAGGCGCCCACCTAGCAGGCGAGCCACGCGGGACGCTGGAGTGGCAGAGAGACCCCTGGCGTCTGCTGAGCTCCGCTGGCAGAGTTTGCAAGTGGCCGAGACCCCTCAGGTAAGGACTGCGGGCCTGGACCTAGTAGGAGGGCTCCATAAGGGAGCAGGGCTCAGAGCTGCTGTCAAAGGATTTCTACCCCTAGATCTGGGCTTCCAGTCCCAGCCACTTCCCCAGAGACTAGGGGGGCCCGTGCCCAGAGCCAGGTGAGTGAAGAACCCAGAGTGGTGAAAACCCAGCTCTGGGTAAATGACAAACTTTCTCTCCTCTGACAGAGAATGGGACATTTTGGTTCATCCTGTGGTCATCTGTGTGGCCCCCCCAAAGGCATTCACTCCAGGTTGGAGACAGTGAAGTCCAGGGAGGAGCTGAGCTGGGCCAGAGGGAAAGCAGTGGGCTCTTTTCATTGCATCCATGAACCACCCCCTGCCTGGCCAGCTCAGAGTTCCAAGGGGAAGGAGCTAGTCATATCGCTAAGTTGGCTCTCCAAGGAGCATGTCAGGGTGATACTCTGGGGCTGAGGTTCCCCGTCATCTGGAGCCAGCAGCCAGGGCTACCCCAGGCAATGGGGTTTGTGTGGAGTGCTTGGCAGACTCACTTATGTCCATTCTGGTGACACAAACACACACACACACACACACACACACACACTACTGAAGACTGGGGCACCCACTTGTCCAATCACTTCCATCCCAGCCCTTCCAGCAGCTCCAGCTGTCATCACAGAAGCGATGCACCTCCTTGGCAGAGGGGTGCAGGTCGCCCCCACTCCTTAGAGTCCCAAAGGGGCTGCTTATTAGGTGAGAAAAAAGATTGGGGACATTTCCCAGGCTGCTCAGTAAAGACTATTCTTTTTTTTAAGAATTATTTTATTTAACTTTATTTATTTTTATTTTGACCAGAGAGGGAGAGAGAGAGATACAGAGACAGAAACAGAGACAGAGACAGAGAGAGAATGCAAGCCGCTGGGTCCAGGACTGGAACTGTGGTCAGCCATGTGGGAATCCAGCATCCTTAAGCATCTACCAGCCCCAGCCAGTAGAGACCATTCTGACGGAGACTGGGGAGGTGGAAACTTTTTTTTTTTTTTTTTTTTTTTTTTTGCAGTAAAGGGGCTGGAGCAGACAAGTGGGTTGGGACGGCTAGCGTTTTCTTCTCCTGCGCTGGGGGTGTAGGTGGTCTCCTCGCACTCAGGCCCCTAGAGGTTCCATGGAGCCCTGCATATAACTCATGAGTTTGGCCAGATTATTTTCCTCCCAATGAAAAGCAGCCTCCAGGGGCTCTGAGGATCATCGTAGAGCCACCTACTCCTGTGGTTATAGTCCCACAGGTTATAGATGACATTGTGCTTCCTTTGTGGGTTCGAGCCCGGGGCTGGGGCCATCCTGATGTCCTGGTAGGTCAGGGAGTGGATATGCTCCAGCTCTGACTGGAGGGCCCTGTAATTGCTGCCTGCTCGAGCTGGGGATCTGTCTCCAAGAGCAGGATTGCTGTGTGGTTCTTGGATACTTCCTGAAAACCTCCTGTCCCTGCTTGGGGATTCTGATCCAGGGTCAGGCTAGGAGCTGCTTCTCTAGCCTGCTGTGACCCAGGGATTTTTCCAGGGTGTTAGGCTGGTGCTTGATGTCCTGGGAAAAGCCTCAACTTTGGATCAAGAGGGTGAGCTTTAAGTAGGTGCTCATTTGCTGTTTGACTTTGGACAAATTACTAGACCTCCCTGGGCTTCAGTTGCTGCTTCTCTAAAATGAAGAGATTTCATGTATCCTCAGAGGTCCCAGTTCACTCTGTAATCCTGAGTGATTATCACAGATGAGATTTTCATAATCCCAGGAGGTGATGTAATTTAGTATTTAATAGACCCAGGACTCAGCCACTTCCCTCTACAATCCTTACCCCCTTCCCACGATAAAATGGAGAGCTTATAGTTCCTACTTCAGAAGAGTGTTGGGAGGACTGACTGAGATGGCGCAATGGAAAGTGCTTAGTGCAGAGTCTAGCAAAGCATGAAGCTCAACGTTGGTTGCACCAAGGCTGTCTGCTTTCAGGTCTTGTGCTTGGGCATCTGAGTACTATTTGCCCAGGGAAGCTAACCCTGTCCCACTGGAGCACCAGGAGATCCTTGACGGGAGAAGGGGCAGGACCCTTGTGCTCTCCGATCACCTGATACCTGCAGTCCCCACCCTCTCCTCGCTTCCTCATAAAAGCACTGCTGGACCAGCTGCTTCTAGTGGGGTGCCTAGGGGGGTCTGGGAGGGCTGGATGCACCCAGTTGCTGCATCACCATGACAACAGGAGGTGGAGGTGAGCTGTCTCCATGGCTTCAACTTTGCAGCTATCTAGGGACTCAGGGCAGAGAAGTCCAATATGTCTGGGTGTCAGGCACCCTGTCTGCTGAGGGTCTGAGGGCTGCCCCATGCTGCACAGGAGAGGCTGCTGTCCCCAGCAGGAACAGCCATGAGGAAAGGAGTATCACCGTGCCTTGGGGAGGGATGCTGACTGGACTGGTCCATCTTACTTCTTTCTAAGTGGTTTAGAGGTTTGCCCCAGGTTTATGCTGAAGCCAGTGGTAAGAAAGGCAGACTTCATCCTGGTTGACCTGAAGTGAGTTAACAGGTATGCAGTAGGGACTGGGGCAAGAACATTCCTTGGTGTGCTGGCTTGTTCTGTGGGCTTGACTTTAGGCCTCTGAGAAAATGAACTGTTGGCTTCTCTGGTGACGTAGTATGTGTACATGTGCATGTGCGTGTGTAGACATGTATGCCAATGTACGCACACTCATGAAGGTTTGCGTGCCGTGTCCATGTGAGTATGACTTACATGAAAAACGTAAGTGTGGCTGCGCACACATGTGTGAATGTCAATATGAGTGTGTACTTGGTGTCTAACAGATATATGAGTGTGTGTGTGAGTCAGGTGTGCACATGCATTTGAGAACATTAAGCAGTTGTATGCATGTTACATGTGTATCTATGACCAAGCAGGTGTGTGAATGTGCAGATGCACATGTGTGCTGTCAGGGTCTATGAAGAAATGTGTTTGTCTGAAAACTTGGGCATCTCTGCCTAGATGCACGTTTTAGTAGCTATATAGGTTGTCTGCACACATGCAGGCATTTGTGAGTACCTATATGTGAGTGTCCACGTATGTGCACTATGATGTGAGTGTGAATTTGTGCTATGTGCTCACAGGTTATGTATGTGTGCTTTCCAGTCTCTCTGTGGGTATCTCTATGTGCATCTGTGAGTATATAGCATTGCACACTCGATTACCTCTCTGCATGTGTGTACATCTGTGTATCATGGTGTAACCTCTGTAAGTCTGTACGTGTGAGTTTCTGAGCATGTGCATCTGTGAGAGCATGCTTATTTGATCGTGTCACTCTGTACATGTATGTTTCTATATGAGGGTGGTGTAAACTTTTTGTGTTTCTGCGTGTATCCATTTCCAGCGTATGCCTGTGTGTGGCAATGCACACTAGATCATATTCCATGTGTGTGTGTGTGTGTGTTTCTGATAGTCGATATCTGGGGTGTGTGGGTGGCAGTGTACACTTGAGTGTGTCTCTGTGTGTTTCCGTGTGTTGCAAAGTACTTGTGAGCATGTCTGCTGGGTATGAGTCTGAGTGTGTGCGCTGTATCCTCTTACGTGTATTTCTGGGCATGTTCGTGTGTGGTGTAACTTTTGTGCGTGTCTCCCGTGTATGTGTGTACGTCTGAGCTTGTGCATGTCTGGGGTGTGTCTGAGTGTCTGTGGGGGTGCAGGTTGGTAGGAGTCAATCCATCTGAGAGTCCAAACAGACACCATCGCTGACCTTTTACGACTACTCGTCTCCCGGTCTTCAGGGCCGAGCACCTTCCAAGTGCGGGTTCAGTAGTTATGCCTTTTCTGAGCGTGCTCATTTTCCAAGTGTCTTTGCTTCACTGTGTTCCAAAGCCCCACCTATCCCCCTGCCCTCGCTTCCCTCGCTCCCCACAACAGCCCAAGTCTCTCGCCAGAAGTCTCCAAGTTAGGACAGTTGCAGAACAAACTCGCAGATGTTGAAAGCGCAGGTATAATTTTAGGCAGAAGGTCTGAAAATAGGCAGCCTAGGATGTGCTGAACATCTCGACAGCAGTGTTTCTAATTAGGAGCAACTTGTTTTCCTTAAATAAACAAATCAAGTGAGGAAAGAAATTGCCCGAGATTAATGGCTCCCCGGAGCAGGTCCATATGTCGGGAAGACAGGAAGCGGGATAGGATACACTTGGGCCTGGGGTCCCCACGGACTGCAAGTGTTACTGCTCAGAATCCTTGCAGGTTTTGACCGATGAGAGCTGATGACACAGAGGTTGCAGGTGAGAAGCTGGTGTAGGGACCGGGCCAGGCCAGTGTGGGCCCCCTTCTAAGAGCTGGCTGGGCAGGTGCGTCACTGGGCCTGGTTGTCCCTACTTCCTATATCCCTACCCTTCGCTATGAGACGTTACTGTTCTTCTGGCAGGCAAAGCTCATGCCCTGCTACTTCACTTAGGGCTCAGCGTGGGACTAGCATTGGCTTTAGAAGAGGTCGATGTGATGATGTGCCCATTTTGAGCTTGGATCTCAGGGGGCCTTGTGAGTTTCTGCCAGAGAGACTGGCTCCCTGAGGGTAACTGCTGCCCTCTTAGCTGATCCTAGAATGAACACATGTTGAACTGCCCTAAACCGCAACGTCAGTGAAAAGTCTAGCCCACCTTAGCTCAGCCACACTCCAGCTGGTCACTAAAGGATAGCGATAGGTGCTTCTTATGTTGTTTCAGTGGGTTTTGTGTTTATTCATTATACACCGTTACTGTGGTCATAGTAAGGGATGCAGAAATAAAGTCATCTTTATTCCCTTCTCCTTGTTCCTGGTGCTCAGAGCTGTGTGATGAACACCTGTACTTCTCACCGTTGCTATCCATCCCTACCATGCTTTTTGCCCATGCCGGCACCAATGGTAATATTAATTATATAGTTAACATTTATGGGGTATTCGCCAGTTCCACGTATCAGGCCAGAGGCTTTTTCTCTTTTTAAATTTTTGCTATAGGGTATATGTGCTC